GGCAAAAAAAGAGCATAACAGAAATGAGGCAGAGAAGGTTGGTTATAATCTCTAATATGGGGATGGCCTTGATACACTAAATTAAAAAAAAAAAGAACCACATGTGGAGTAGATCAGGAAGTAGGGTCCGCTGAGATCCTATTTATAGGAAATGTAATTAATATGAAAAAGAGAACATGGACGGAAAATCAAATATGAGAAAACAATGCTCTATGTGGCAGAGAACCAGAGAGTAATAGGGGCAATTAGACCAGTATTTGTGGATAGATTGGAAAGATAGGATTTAATAGGTAAAGGAATACAATTAGATCAAGTCCAGGAGAGAGAAGTTTCGGAACCACTTAGGTAAATAGCAGGTTGCCCTCCCCCACAATTTAAAACCAAGGGTCTTAGTGAGACCCAAAAATGCAGAGTGTACCCTGGGGAAGTGAAAGGGGAGGAAGAGTCTTAAAAAAGATGGAAGAAAATATTGTTAATAGTATATCAGGATTTAAAACCCACATTACTTGCACCACTCTGCTTAGATTTTATTCTATCCCAGTTTGTCTACTTGCATTAGATTTGAGGGCACAGACAGCTATTCCCAAAATATCAGGATATATAGTACAGTAATCATCTTTAATTTCCTATTAACTTAATCTGGAGCCCTGTATGATTTATACTGTTTTATCATGACTCATCTTAGCTAAATCTGGTTTGTTTGATTGCTGTTTGGTATCAACAGATTTTATTCCAAACTGACATGTTTGATAGTATCAAGTCTGAGAGTATAGTCAACTTCACTGAAAATGACAAGACTCACTATGGTACACATTCTGGTTTGATTACTGCCTGTTTTTGAAGTTTTATACTATATACAAAGTTGTGTTTTTATTAATACTGTTATGTACTGATATATTCAATTATACTATGTCTGATGATATAGCCAGTTCTATTGAAGATAACAAGAGACCACAAAGGAACTATGGTAGAACTCCTTGTACAATGGTCTTATATGTCTTTTTGGTTTCATGTGTTTACAGGAATATGTTTTGCTTTGTCTTGCTTTGTTTTGTTTCTCCCTCTAATATAGAAAGGATAGAAATACATGTGAGGACTCATGCATGTATAGAATCTATAAACAGTTTATGAAAACTGATCTTATGACACATGATGAAATGAACAGATACTCTGAAGAAAAAGAGACACTAAAGTACCCAGTGCTGATCCTGAAGTATCATAATATGAAACCCAGCAATAGTATTATGATTTAGAGTGATATTAGCCTTCTTGGGTTTGTTCAATCTACACATAATTGAAGATATGGATAACTGCATAGATGTTTAAGTGTATAGGCTTGATAACCTTATTTCTAAGTTTTTGTCGGATAGTTGAACAGAACTGGTTGCAGCGTCACTGTTTGAATTCCCACTTTATATGCTCTACTTTAGTATATTGAATAACTATTTGTAAGAGAACAATCTGTAATCATCAACTAGTGATTTCTTACTGTTTACTTTTTTCTTTGAAAGTATGTATTTCTACTCATTTTCTGCTTTGTTTAGTCTTTAATTAAATTTTAAACAAAGTAAAGTTGGTTCTTTGAAAGAATCAACAAATTGATAAACCATTAGCCAATCTCATCAAAAAGAGGGAAAAAATGCAAATTCAAGCAATTAGGAATGAAAATGGGATAATCACAATGGATCCTTCAAAAATCAAGAAGATTATCAATACCTACAATGAGGACCTATATCCTAGATGGAAAACACAGAAGAAATGGACAGATTTCTAGACACAACTGAATTACCAAAACTAAAATTAAGAAAGCATAAAAATTTTAATAATCTGATATCAATGAAATTTGAAATGTAATAAAAAACTACCAACAAAGAAAAGCCTAGGCTATGACAAATTCACTGTTAAATTCTACAAGAAATTTAGAGAATACTTACTGCAACTAATGTGGAAACTTTTTTAAGGAAATTGAAGGGAAGCAACACTTTCAAAAATCATTTCTGGAAATAAGTATTACCCTATTTCCAAAACTGGACAAGGACTCAACCAAAAATGAAAACTACAATCCAGTCCTCACCAATGAACATAGATGCAAAAATCCTCAATAAGATCCTGACAAAGAGAATGCATTACATCATCAAGAGGATTATACATTATGACCAAGTAGGATTCATCCTAGGTATTGTTCAACATACAAAAATCAATAAATGTAACACATGATTTTAACAGAACCAAAGACAAAAAATATACAAGCATCTCAATTGATGCATAAAAAGCATTTGACAAGGTCCAACATAAATTCACGACAAAAACCCTACATAAAATTGGAATAGACGTTCTTTATCTCAATCTGATAAAAGCCATCTACAACAAACCAATAGTCAACATCATACTAAATGAAAAAAAATTGAAAGCTTTCACTCTAAAATCAGGAACAAGGTAAGGATGTCCATTATCACATCTCCTATTCAATAGATTCTGTAAACATTAGCCAGGAAAATTAGATAAGAGCAAAAAATAAAAGGAATAAGGATATGAAGGGGATAAGTTAAATTATTATTTGCAGATGACATGGTATTCTACATAGAAGACCTCAAAAACTCAATGAAAAGACTTATAGATTTAATAACCAAATTCAGTAGTATAGCTGGATACAAAGTCAACACTCAAAAATCAATAGCCTTCCTGTTCACAAGCAACAAACTTACAGACAGAGAAATTAGGGAAACCACACCCTTTACAATAGCATCAAAAAAAGAGAAATACTCAGGAATCACTTCAAGAAAGGATGCAAAAGATCTATATATTGAAAATTACAGACTCTGAAAAAGCAGATTGAAGATGGTATCATAAAATGGCAAGATATTCCTTTGAACATGAGACTTTTGGAGGATATTCTAGATTCAAAGCTAACATTCTCTGAAGATTTATTTTGTTGTGATCTCAAACTTCATCATTTTCAAATGATAGTTGTGTTCAATGTAAAAGTCTTGCTTGAATTTTTTCTTTCAATGCTTTGAACATGCCATTCATTGACTTTTGAAAGCCATAGTTCACAGTTTACTGGCCTTCCTTTTATTTTTTGTCTTTTAGGTATTTAGATTTATTCCTTTTTAAAATAGCTTGTCTTTGCTAATATTCTATATTTGATCAGGTATATTTTTTGGTGGGGGAGGGTACCAGAGATCGAACTTGTGCTTGCCAAGCAGGCACTTACGCTGCTGAACTAAATTCCTGGCTCCTGATCAGATATGTTTTGTGAACTTAATTATGTCTCCCCATAAATCATATTTTGTAGTTGTAATTTCCATGGTAAGTATGTTGGGCTAAAAAGTCATTAAGGGAAATCTGGCCAGGGTGGAACTTGGGCAGCTTATTCTTCTGCCCTCTTGGTAAGCTCCCCTGATGTGGGCCAGGAGAAGAACCAGTGCTCCCAAGATCTGGCCATGGTGGGACTTAGGCAGCTTATTTGCCCACCCTCTTGGTAAGCACCCCCAGTGTAGGCTAGGAGGAGAACCAGCAGCTCCTGTGAACCTACCAGTGTGCGAGCTGAGAATCAAACAACCTCCCCCATCCCGTAGCTACTGGGGCTAGAGGTCTCAGCATCTCTTGGAAGGATGACCATATACAGTATAGCAAATATGGAGGATTTCCTTCTATCTTGTTTGAAGGCAAAGGTTGTTTTCACTGTTTTGTTTTGCTCTATTCACTACTCTTTTTAAATTGGTTTTACAGTGTTCTGTTTTTTTTTTTTTTTTTTTTTGTCTTTTTCATTTTTATCGGTACCGGGGATCGAACTCACAACTCCTGCTTGCAAGGCAGGCACTTATGCCGCTGAGCTAAATCCTCAGCCCCTTAGTATTCTGTTTTTGGTTTGATTTCACTATACCTAACTGACTGGACAACTACTGTGAAGATAACGAGATATACCACAGTACCTATTACTACCATCCCAGTATCTTGCTGTGAAGTTCTGTACCAATGTCACTGCATTCCTGATTGGCTTTGTTCTGTCTTGTGCTGTTGTATTTTTACTACTTTCAAAATAAAATTTTATAAAAAAAGCCATTAAGGAAATGATTAATAACAAGTGAAGGTGGGGGGTCCTTACCTCCTGATAGTGCCAGTATCCTTAAAATAAAAGGGGGAAATGCTGAAAGGTCCCTCGTGGCTGTGCATTCTCATTCTTCCTATCCCTCTCAGTCCCCCTTCCTTCCTTCCTTTTCCGTGTACATGTGTGTGTTATGTGTGTGTTCCCTGCTCAGCTTCCTACAAAAAAGAGGCCACGTGAGAAGGCAGCCACACATAGACAGAGTTAGAGGACACCCCACAGATTAACATGATGGCCCTTTCATTATGGACTTCTAGCCTTTGAACAGTGAAAAAATAAATTTCTGTTGTTTAAAGACACCTGGTATGGCATGTATTGAACAGCCAATACAGATACTCTTTCATATAATTTGTTTAAACATGGTTTCCTCATTATTTGAGCATGCTTATGGGATGCTTTGTAATTTTGGGCTATAAAAATTAATGGATCATATTTATTGTTATTTTGATATCAACAAAAGTCCTGGATATTTTAGATAACACCATTAGGTAAATACAGATACTAATACATTAAACCTCTCAAGGGCTGGTTTGTTTGGGTGATTATGTGACCATTTTATTATAGCCTGTCCTCCCAAGGCAACGAGAATCCACTAGTACTGCTCCTCCAAGACCACAGCCTTGAGGATGCACACTGTCACCTCTGGATGACAGCAGCCTTGCTTTTTCTTTTCCTTCCTTTTATTCTTCCTTCCTCTTGCCCTAATTGAATGGATGAGTTCTAAAACTAGTGATATCTATGTTTCATTGATAATAAACACCGTAATTCTATTAATTATAGGAAAAAATTTATAAAGCTTTTATAGGTACAGCTCTCAAAAAGGATCCATGTTTAATTTAATTACAGAGAAACTAAACATCAATAGTGAAGTTTAAAAAATCCTTGTTCTTACCTGGATGACTCTCTACTTGTAGCCTGACTGGCCCCTTTATTATACGTCTTGAAATAGAAATTTTCATGGGTACTATACCAGGATCTATAAAAATGAAACAGATTTTTAAAACACTTTGAAAGATAAACTCTAACATACATCTGTTTCTCTTTGTGTTGGCATTGTGTGTGTGTGTGTGTGTGTGTGTGTGTGTATGTGTGTGTGTGTGTGTGTGTGTATGTGTGTGTGTGTGTATAGTAACAACCCAGTTATATTGTTAGGGAGGCAAAACTTTTTTCAAAGGTCTGGGCTATAGAATCATTAACTCTTAGAATTGGAAGCAGTTTTAGCAATCATATCTCCTTTTATTGGGGTACAGAGAAGTTTAATGATTTGAACAAAGCCTTGTGTCCAGGTAATGATAACACTGTTGCAGAAATCAATATCTCAGATTTCATTAACCAGTGCTTTTCTCATAAAATGACTACTTTTGACACAAATTAAAATCATTTCAGACAGTTGATAATGAGAATATAATTTTTGAGTTTACATTAAAAGTGTAATCATAGGCAAACACTTAGTGACTTGGAACATAATTTTATTCACAGATCAACTTGTGTAAACCATAGGCTTTATAGTTCCAGAAAGTTAAATTTTAGATTATATAATTACAAATTAAATGACAACAGTGATAGAAAAGAATAATAGTGATCTAGTAAACTACAAAAAGATGCCCTCCCTAGATCACTGAGGTATAGGATTCATAGCTGGAAAACAGTAGATTTGCATTAGTATCAACACTGGGACAGGCAGGATCCCCTTGGGGTTAGGTTTTTATGTGATTTGAACTTTTTGACCTATTGCAGCAATACTCACCCTTTTTTAACACCAGGATTCAGTTTTATGGAAGACAGTTTTTTCATGGACCGACTGGAGGGTGAGCAGCGGGTTGCAAATTAGATTTCTACAAGAAGAGTACAGCCTTGATCCTTCCCATGTACAGATTTGGTGTTAGTAAATTTGGTGTTTGGTGAGGGCCTATTTTTTGGTTCATGATATGGGGTCTTTTACTTGTGTCCTCTCAAGGAGGCAGGGTTGAGGCAGGGCTCTGGAGCCCCTTCTGAGACTACCAGCCTAAAATCCCAAGCTCTCGCCTTCAAAATGAACTCAGACAGAAGTTCCTAACTGTAGTATTTCTATGATCAAACAGAATGGTGTCTAATGCTATTATTCAGGAAATAAAGACCATAGTGTTACCTGTAAAAATGCTGCACCATTGAAGGACTCTAGTGTAGGACAGATGTGACAAACATCAATGGAACCAACAAGAAGGAATCAATCATCAGTGGAATAATTTACAGTTACAGTGAACTGTCTTAATGAATCTATAACTAATAAGATCCAGCTAATGTTCTATTGATAAGATATGCAAGAAACAATTTATGAGAGGAAATTCAAAAGACTTTTGCTCTTCATTCTTATTCCTTGGAGAAGATAAAATAATATTAATGTTGAAAAATAACTGTTCTTACCAAGGTGACTCTTCGGTCGTATCTTCATTCTATCAAACTTTATACCCCCTCTCAACACATCTGTCAAGGGTTCTATATCAGTTTCTAAGGATAGAAGACAGATCTCAGAATACTGCCTAAGACAACCATTAATGTGCTTTGGTTACATTAAAAATATTTCTATCTCTGTTGATATCCTCAACTGGATAAGACATTTTCATTGTAATTGTCTTTTTTGTTTTTTTCCCTCACATTGCTTTATTGGTGCACACTGGTTATAAAGACTAATAGGACTCAGTGTGGCAGAAACACACATCTCATACTTTAATCATTTTCACTGCTCCTTACAATCCTCTTGCCTCAGTGTTTATGCAGGATTCAATGCTTATCATATATTTTAATCAAATCTACCCATTCTGATCAGCCATTATACTTCTCCCCTTATTTCCTTCTTGTTTGATCTGCCTTTTATTGTTAAGAGTGGTTTCCTTTCATTTGAAAAGTACATGTATAATAAGTTCTTTGATGTCTGTGTCACCCTTGTCCAATACTGCTTGGGACACTCACAAGCAGCTTTTGTGGCATGACTTTTTTCTTAGGTTACATTTTTAGTTTCTTTGCATATTAACAATACTTGCTAGGAACTTAGAATTTTAAAGGGATTATTACAGCATCTCTAACTGATTTCCCCATCCTCTATCTGAAGCCTGCCATGGTTGTCTCCATATTTATTTATTTAATGATGGGCCTGCTGTATTGTTCTGAAGCATTCAGCAAAAAGCTTCTACTGCTGTTCTGCCAACGGTGAAGCCTTAGGTACTTCTGGGTGGCCGTGGTGTTAGCAGGCTGCCCTTGAGGGTCTTTCTCCTTTCCTTCTTGGAATCACCTCAAAGACAAAAGATAATGTGTCTAATCCTGTCACTGCAAGATGAAAAGTAGGAGTATAATCTTTGAAAGAACTACTGGACATGAAGGGTTACAAATTTGCCTGGCATTTTCATCAAGTACAGAATTCTTATAAAAGAGTTAAGTCTGGACTTTCCATGGACTCTCAATCCCTCCTTCCATGTGCCTCTCTCTCATTGTGATGATTCTGTGATACTGTGACAAGGCCAGAAGACACTTCCACAGTTCAGCCAGATTGGGCTGAGTTGATATTTTCATTTCCAAAACATGTAAGATAAATTTTTTTCATCTATAATATTTTTAGTCTCAGATATTTTGTTATTTTTAAAATGCTTTTTGGTTTCCTAAGACAGATCTTGCTATGTAGTGTGCACTGGCCTTGAACTCACTATGTAGCCCAGGCTATCCTCGAACGCATAGCTATCCTCCTGCCTCAGCCTCCCTAGTGCTGGAATTACAGACATGTGGCACCATACCCAGCTCAGATATTTTGTTATAGCAACACAAACAGACAGATTCTAATAATTTAATTATCTGTTACTTTTGTGTTCTCTCATTTATCAGCTAGACTCTCTGCTTTTGCAAACTCAATATAACTTTCTACAAAAACAGAGTACTGAAAATACTGCACATATAACACACAAGGTTGGTAGCTGTTAACAGACAAGGTGACCAGACCATTACATTTTAATTCATAACTTTATAAATAAATGGGCTTTAAAACTAATGTTTTACTGATAGTATACTAGACCCTAATTATAGGAGTATATTAATGAAGTTTACCTATGTAATACTAATATATAGGTATTGTTATCATTGAAGATCAATATTTAATCTAACTCCAGAAATATATGGAACATGAGATTTGAATAAATTCTTATTCTCACCAGGATAACTCTTCAACTGTGTCATTGGCTCTTTCCTTACATTTTTTCCAAAAATACCTGGGAAGCGTTCTGTTCCAGTCTCTATAGAACCAAAACAGATTTCACAGTACTTTATAAGGTAAATATTACCACATGTATATGTGCTATACTATATTAAATTGTCATTGTTATTATAGAAAACAGCTTAAAACAATGTCTGCATTTCAGAATCACAAAGTCTTGGAACCAAAAGATCTATTAGCAACCACATAAACTTATATTGAGGCTTACAAAATATAACTTAAAGACAATAAGTGAAGATAATGTAAAAATGATGTACAACCTAGCATATAGTTTGTCAGTGCTTTTTGATACAATGTAATCTCTTGCACAAACTGAAGTCAAAGTACTATTTCTATAACTTTCAAGCATATGCTACCAGCATGCTCACTCTGGGTATACACCTAATCTTTTTTGTGTAGGTCAGTTTTCAGATCATGGTCCCCAGAGCCACAGAGCTACATGAAGTGGAAATTCTGTGATCAGTCCAGGAATATTTTATGTCTTTTATAATATTATGGAATTAAAGTTCTAGTATGGATCAGTGGAGTACAAGAATAAGATGTTTTGTAGACTATGAAAAAGTATTTCTGAGCTCCTTTTAGGTTATAGACTCCATACCTGGAGAAAATTAAGCAGACAGATTTACAATAGGACCAGCATTGAGACTGGATTTCCTTTGATTTGAATTTTTATGTGATTTGAAATTTTTCTGGATTTAGAAACTATTGAAAAGGTGTTACTGACAGGGAAAAATACATGAAAGCTACTAAAATTGAATTCATTTTTGAAAAAGAGACAATTATGACAGGTGACTAAGGTGAACTTATGGAATAAAGTTTCTGTGTGTGATGGCTGGTTATCAGAGATTATATTACTGGAGACCTATACACCAGAAGGTGGAAGTTTAGCTTTGAAAAAATGCTTGAGTTCATGTATGAAAGTTATAGACTACAATGTAGTATCTGCGGCTCAGATGTACCAATACTAAAATGAAAACTAAGTACAGAGGTATCATTACCATTAGAAAAGCCTTTTAATTTGATATAATTAATTCTTGCTTTTTGTTTTCTGAGCTATTATGGATCTATTAGGACTCAGTTCCTGTGTGCATATCTTAAACTATTTCTCCTATGATTTCTACTAGTAGTTTCCAAGTTTCAAGACTCACCTCATGATCTTTGATCAATTTTGAGGTGAATTTTTCAAGCTACAATCATCTAGAAGCAGGTATTCAGATTTTTAGCACCATTTATTGAGGGTCTTTTTTCATCAATGTAAATTTTTGGTACTTTTGTCAAGTATCAGTTAGCTCGAAGTGTGTGAATGTATTTCTCAGTTCTCTATTGTATTCATTGGTGTAAGAGTCTGTCTTTATATCAAGATTTTAAAAAATTATTTCTCTGTAATGTATTTTGAAATCAGGTATCCCAGTGTCTGTAGCATTGTTCTTTTTGGTCAGGATTTTCCTGGCTACTGTGATACTTTGTGCTTTTATATGCACTTTATGATTTTTTCTAGGTCTATAAAGAATATCATTATATAGAATTTCAATATAAATCACATTGAATCTGTAGGTTAATCTTGGGTAGCATGACTGTCTTAACAATATGAATTTTGACAATCCATGAGCATGGGAAGTCTTTTTTAATTTTGGGGCATCGTCTTTAATTTTTTTTGATAGTCTGTAATTTTCATTGTTGATATCTTTTAATATAACAAAAGGTTACTCAGAGACTTCTGAGTAATCCATTATCTATGACTCTCACACATATTCTTTCATTATTTGCTTTTTTTCTAGGCATGAGTTACACTTTATTCTTTCCTTGAATGACTCAAAACTGCACATTTAAAATAACATATTGAAATAAAGAGAGACGTTGATTTATTCATCTTGTTCCTTTAAGACCATAGGTTTTGATTATGCACACTGTCCCCTTTGAGAGAGAGAGAGACAGAGAGACAGAGAGACAGAGAGAGACAGAGAGTATGTGTTTTACTGCATCACACAAGCACTCAAGGGCTCTGCCACTGAGCTACAGTTTCCAACCCAATTGGTTATAGTTGGATTCTTTTCAGTGACTGCTTTCCTTATTTTTCTATTAAAGTGTTGGCTTCTTTTGGCAAAAAGTGTAACTAACACTGTTATTCTAGATCTAAATTCAGCTGTACAGTCATTAGACTAAATAACCCAACTGAATAGCTGAAATATTGTAAATCACTCAATACTGTCATTAAATAGAGGAAATGAGTAACCAATAGAATAACTTTTACACTTCTCTTTTTATCACATTTATCATTTAGATTTTGTTTTTTTAAAAATTTCAAGAAAATTTTCTATCACAGCAAGAAATGTACAAATGAGTAGAGAAGCACCTGAGACAGTCGCGTTAATCATATATTTAGGTCACAATAACACTGAAGTTTTAAAGATTATGACTTAAATGGATGAGTTCTAAAGTTACTGATAGATAAACAATGTTTCATTGATAGTAAGTAAATATTAGATTTCTGGTAATTATAGGAAGGAAGTTGTGAAGACTATGAAGTACAGATGTCAACAAGAATCTGTATTTAATGTAACTATAAAGAAGCTAAATTAACACCAGTAGTGAAGTTTAAAAAATATCCTCGTTCTTACCTGGTTTATTCTCTAATTGTGGCTTGACTGTCTCCTTTGTTACACCTCTTACCTTAGCACTGGTTGAATGTTTTATGTTAGGAGCTATAAAGATAAAACAGATTTTTAAGATACCTTGAGAGATAAACTCTAAGATTCATCTGTCTCTGTGTTGGGGTTGTGTGTACGTATGCAGCATACGTGTGCATGGGTAGTGGTAACCTAATTAGAATTTATTGTTAGGAAAGCAGAATTTTTTTCTGAAAGTCTGATTATATAAACACAAACCCTTTGGCACTGACAGCATTGTTAACAATCACTGATGTGTCACTTTATTGAGGCTTAAAGAAGTTTAATGATTTGAATGAAGTGCAGATCAAGTAATGACAAAACTGATGTAGAAATTGCCATCTAACATTTCATAAGCAGAACTTTTCCCATACAAAGCTACCTTTTATATAAAATAAAATTATTCTAGATGGTGAATGATGAGAATGTAATTTTTCAAATTAACATTAAAAGCACAGTCATAAGGTATGGATATATTTAGGAAGTTGAAACAATTTTATTCACAGGTAAATTTTAAACCATGGTCTTTTAAAATTTTTTTTAAATTTTTTTAAAACCATGGTCTTTGTAGACACAGAGAGTGAACCTGTAGAAGAATGTTTTTCTCCTTTAGATTACATAACTATAAGAAAAAGCAGCAAGAGTATTAGAAGAGCATCTTATGGACTTAATAGCAATTGCTATCTTGGGTTTACTAAGAATACAGACTTGATAGCTGGAAATAAGTCAATTTTTACTGGGCCAACATTAGATTGGATCTCTTTCTATGTGGCTATTCATATGATTTAACCTTTTTGCTTAAAGTTAACACTAAGGTAATGACAGAAATAATTAGATGTAGAGAGACTAAACAGAAATTATACACAGAAATTAAAATAGAACTGCTAATGTTACAGTTTTGTGTTGCTGCAGGATATTCTGATAATTATTCAAAACTTGTACTGTCAGTCTTATGCTTCTTTGTATATTTTGGGGAAGATGCACTAGCCAGTTCCCACATTTAATATATAAAATATATTAATACAAAAAATATAAAATAATTTAATATATTATATAAATTACTATATTAAATTTAAAATATATTAATATTTAATATTAAATATATTTAAGTATATTAAATATAAATGTTTTATAAAATCAAAGTTAACAAAGAATTCATATTATCTTGGTCAGTCATTGGGCCTTAAATTTGGTGAAATTTGATTTTAGTTGAGCATGTGATTCTACTTGGAAACTTGTGGTGATCAGACATCTTTATTAAAGTGTTAAGTTTTGGTTTGGACAAATTGCTGATTTCATGAATAGATTTTAAGGCTGCACAATGACCAAATATACCAACAGTGTATAAAAGTGGAGACTGGTTAGTGCATCTTCCCCAAAATATACAAAGATGCATGAGTGGCAGAACAAGTTTTAAATAATTATCAAAATATCTATCACAGCACAAAATTGTGACTTGAGCAGACCTATTTTAATTTCTTTGTGTAATTCCTATTTGATTTCTCTACATCTAATTGGTAAAATTTCGATTCAAAAAAGTTTTTCAGATAAGCAAGAATGTAATGAGAAGAGTGAGGACAGGGTTAAGCACTAAGAATCCTGCAAAGGTATGTGCTGGAGATATTTATAATCTTACAAAAGTTACAATTTTCCTACTTCACATTTTTAAATTTAAGATAAAAAAGATACAGAAAAGAAAAATTAAAAAACCAACACAGACAAACAAACAATAAAACAAATACAGTAACAGTATAGGTTTACAAAACAAGAGAAGAGAAATTTGAAAATGGCTGTAATATTGTATATTGTTACCTTTAAGAGGGTTGCTTAGATTAACAGATACAGACATGTACATTTGATCTGAACATGAGTATTAACTGTTTTTTCCAATAACTAATAGTTATTAATATAGTCAGTTTAGTTATCATATATATATATATATATATATATATATATACACACACACACACACACACAAATTTCTTTTTCCTTTCCTCTTTTCCTTTATTCTAATTACTTTTCCTCTTTAAGTAGTTCCTTGCTCTTACACAGTATTCACTGTATATTTTGAAACAACTTAATTTTTCAGTTTCTTATGCTAGCGAGACAATATGAATATGGTATTTACACATGTGAGTTATGTATTTCACTTATGAGTATATGAGTATAGTCTCAAGTCGTGTCCATTTGCTTATACAAGTCTTGAAGCAATTTTTCTTTTTAGCTGACTAGCACTCCATTGTATAAAAATGCCAAAAATATCTCTTTTTATCATTTCTTGATGGTTGGGCACTTGGGCTATTTCCAAGATTTAGCTATTACAAATTATGCTGCTATAAACATGGGGGACATATATCACTGTGGACATATATCAATGTTTCAGTTATTCTGGGAAAATGTCCAGAATCAGTATAGCATGGAATCTCGAATCCTAGCTTTTTGAGGAATCTCCACACTGATTTCCATAGTGGTTGCACCAGTCTACACTCCCACCAACAGTGAAAGTTCCTTTTTCCTCACAGCCCCCCTGCAGCATTTGTTGTTAGTTGATTTCTTTCTTTCTTTTTTTTTTTTTTTTCCGGTACCAGGAATCGAACTCACAACTGCCTGCTTGCAAGGCAGGTGCTTATGCCACTAAGCTAAATCCTCAGCCCTGTTAGTTGATTTTTTTTTTTTTTTTTGTCTTTTTCCTTTTTATCGGTACCAGGGATCGAACTCACGATTCCCTTGCTTGCAAGGCAAGCACTTATGCCGCTGAGCTAAATCCCCAGCCCCTGTTAATTGATTTCTTGATTTTGGCCATCATTTCTGGGGTGAGATGGAATCTCAGTGTTGTTTTAATTTGCATTTCCTGAATGAACATTGAACATTTTTTCATATATTTATTTGCCATTTGTATTTCTTCATCTGAGAAGCATATATTCTTTTTGGATTGAGTCCTTGAATTTTGGGGTCCTGATTTTTTAAAATTCTTTATAAGTTCTAGACAGAAGTCCTTTGTCTGAGGGACAATTGGCTTATATATTTTCCCAATTCATAGGTCTTCTTTTCACTCTGTTGGAGATTTCCTTTGGCATGTGAAAACTTTAATAAGTTTGTTGATTCTGGAAAGTGTTTCCCACAAAATTTGATTTTTGTTCATGAAATTTCTGCCTAGTCTATGTCGTCAAGATTTCTACCTACTTTGTCTTCCAGTAGATTTATTGTTTCTCTTTTAATATTTAGATCTTTGATCCACTTTGACTTTAGTTTGGTGCATCGTGATAGACATGGGCCTGGTTTTAGTTTTTGGTATATGGAGAGCTAGTTTGTCCAGCTCTACTTATTGAAGAGGCTATCTTTCTTCCAGGAAACATGTTTGGCCCCTTTGTTGAAGATAAGGAGGCTGACTGTGTTTGTAGTTGTGGCTGCATCCTCCAACCTATTCAATTGATCCTCAGGTCTGTTTTGTATTTTTGTCAGTACCATGCTGATTTTATGTCAGTAGCTTTGTAGTATAATTTCAAGTCTGGTTTTTGATGCTGCCTGCCTTATTTTTGTTGCCCAGTATTGCCTTTGCTATTCTAGATTTTTCTGGTTCCAGGTGAATTTTAGGGATGCTTTCTCTAGATCTGGAAGGTATACAAATTATTTAATTTCTTCTGTGACCCATTGGTTGTTTAGGAGAGTGTTATTTAGTTTCCTTGTGTTTATGAGGATTCTTGTGGGTTTTTTAATTAATTTCCAATTTTATTGTGCTATGGTTAATATGCATGGACTTATTTCAATTTCTTTGCATTTTCTTAAGCATGTTCTGTGCATTATTATATGATCTATTTTAGAGAATTACCTATATATGTAGCTGAGAAGGATATGTTATCTGATGTTGTTTGGTGGAACACTCTCTACACATCTACTAGGTCCACTTTTTCATAAGTTTGATTTAGTTCTGTTATTTCTTGAATGACATTTTGTTTGGTTGATCTGTCTGTTTGTGACAATAGAGTGTTAAGGTCCCCTGTTACAACTGTGTTAATTGTTTTGTTTGGTTTTTCATGTCTATTAAAATTTGTCTTACATAGTTGAGTGCTTCCATATTTGGTACATATATATTTATGATTGCAATCTCTTCCTCCTGAACTTTTCCAAGTATGTAGTGACTCTTTTTTTTTATCTCTTTTGGTCATTCTTGGTTTGAAATTCACTTTGTCTGCAAACAAAATAGCTAGTCTTGCTTTTTTCTGGATTCCTGTTGCATGGAGTCTGGTTTTCCATCCTTTTACTTTTAGTCTATGAATTTCCTTTTGAGTTAAAATGTGTTTCTTATACATAGCGTATTGTTAGATTTTGCTTATTAATTAAAATCTGCCAGTCTGTGTCTTTTTATTGGTGAGGTGAGACCATTTACATTGATGGATATAACTGATAAGTGCTGACTTATCACTGACATATTATCTTCTGTTGTTGGTTTCCTGTTATTCTGTTTAACTGTTTGCCCTGCTTAGTGGTTTCCTTTTGTTGTTATTCTTGGGATTGTAGTTATTTTTGTCTTTCTCTATAGTGTCTTTCAGTACTCTTTGTAGCATTGGTTTCATGACCATGAATTTCTTCAGTTGTTCTTTGTCATGTAAATATCTTATTTTTCCATCTATTTTCAAATGTAGTTTTCACGATACATCAATCTAGGTTGAAAGTTGTTATCTCTCAGGACCTGAGATACTTCCCTCCAAGCTCTTCTTGACTTGAAGGTTTGTGTTGAGAAGCCTGCTGTGATTCTGATAGGCTTTCTTTCATAGAAACAACTCCATGAAGTTATAGAGGAAATCAAGTGAGAAATAATCTCTCAGGTAAAAAATGAAATGACATAACATTGTGAAATAAATGCCGCGTGTATCTAAAGAAGATCTAAATAAAAAAAAAAACTTAAGAAAGAAAATGACAGAAATCTTGAATGAACAGTATAAGACAGAATGATCTGTTTTTTTTTTTTTTTTTTTTTTTTTTTGGTCTGGCAGCCTTTAGTATTCTGTTCTTATGCTGAATTTCTGACATCCTAA